CACACACACACACACACAAACCGAAGCGCTGTCGTTACCGTGGCAAATCAGGCGGGACATCGCACACTACTACGCATGACCGCCTCGATAGCATCTGGAATAGATTATAGCTGCTGATCGGGCATGGCTTACTACTAATAATGAATAATGAATAAAAAGTGGTGAAATGGTGTATGTTTAACGCCCCTATCAACATTGCAAGGTTATTTAAGAGGCGGGACCTCCGAGTTTAACGTCCATCTCAGAAAAGACCCAGCCAATTATGGGAAATACGTGTAAAGAGCCTTTCCCAAGGACACAACGTCGAACCGAGCGGAACTCGAACCCCCGAATCCAAGACATCCAAAAAAGAACCCTCAATGTCACAATTACTAACTAATCCGGTTGCCTAACCACTTGGCTACCGATGCCACAATCATTGTTAATAATGATAATAGAATATAGATCTAACATTGTATTATAATCATAGCGCAAATTACCGCTCAACAGCAAGCTCTATGCGCTGTAAATCTGAACTGTAGGCCTACTATTACCCCAGCAGGCCGCCGTATTGCGGTAGACCCGCATCTAAACCGGAGGCGGTGACTTGTTTTTATTTGTTTTTGTAAAGTGTTTTACGGCGCTCGCAACTGCATAAGGTCATATGAGCGCACGGGACACACCATAATATTTTCAGTTGGTAGGAAATTTTGAATTTTGCCCGGGTGGCGGCCGAAGCCTACTCTTATCGTTTTTAGACCACCAAGGGATCTTTAACGTGCGCAACTTGCACACGAGCCCTCCGAGATTTTTCGCCCTTGTCCGAGAAGGCTAGGAGTAGATCTTTCCGACCAGAAGATCAGGGGTGTGGCAGAAAGACAGCAGTAAGAAGAAGCAAAGAGTAGCTGCAGTAGAAAGGCTACAGAAAGAATCAGGAGCCCAGACGAAGGGGCAAAGGAGGTGAGGAGGTGGGGGCAGAAAGAGGAGACGAAAGCAGACGACAGAACATTGCTAGAGAGCAGGAAAAGAGGTGAAAGGAGACACATTTAGAGAAGAAAATTTTTCGGTCTGTACCCGGATTCGAACCCGGAACCTTGAGAATGAGAGGACAACACCTTAACCTCTAGGCCACGAGAGCCCCCTACTTGTTTTTATATTGTGTGTTATAATGTATAATTATAATGAAAATGTCTCATTTTGATTTGGGGAACAATTATCACTTTTCCCGGTGAGTGGTTGGCGGGTGTTCTGGTGTTGTCTGCTCCTTCTTTCCTATCAAACATCTCCCGTGACTTTCTAATCTTTGGCACTTATATATAACCAAATTGTTTTGCAAGTGCCGCAAAATTCTTACTCAAAGTAAACAAAATTATTAATTGTCGCCCTTATCTTTCTTTCCTTCCTTCATTAATATGTTACTATTAGTAACATCTAATCAATCTTCGCTAAACATGCAACCTAATTGTGTTGCTAGTGCCTTAAAACCCTTGCTAGAACTATTAAAACTCTTGCTAGAACTAACCTAAAATCACACTTACTGTATTTTTATTAATTAATAATGTCCCATTTATATAATTTATTCTACAGGTTTTCGTTTGGTGATTGGCTGATTTCACCACCGCTGTGATGGATTACCGGACGCCTTTAGTTCTGTTGGTTGTCGGCGCTTGCCTGTGTGGCTTGACCGGTAAGTGGGGGGTCGTTGCAAGGAGCTTAGGGTCGTTGGTAGTTTGTGTGATGTAGCCATACCCCAAGGAGCTTAGGGTCATTGGTAGTTTGTGTGATGTAGCCATACCCCAAGGAGCTTAGGCTCGTTGGTAGTTTGTGTGATGTAGCTTAGCAATTTTTATCAAATTTTTGTTTTTTGGCTCAACAACTTTTATGTCCATTTACAAACACATTCCTTTGAGGATTTCACCGAAAAACGTTGATTAAAGATGGACTCTCCAGCTTTGGAATTTACCAAGCTTTGACAGCCATTTTCTCGCTAATTTTACCTCTTAAACCAAGTGACCCCCACCTCATACAATCCAAAATATCTCCACTTCTATTTAAGATTGATGAATAACTTTTCGTCCAAACAAAGACAAATGAACAAGCTTTGAGATGATACTAATAACTCAATATGCCCCAAAGTTGACGAGAGCCTGATTCCACCACGCTGCCTCTCAAATGTAAACTCCTTGCCATACCCCCATCCCCCCTTTCCAGTGTGTCATTGGTGTAGCCAGCGGTTATATGGGTTAAGGTTTAGTATTTTATAGGAAGGGTAGCGGTGGGAAGGGAGAGGGGGGGGGGTACCCTTTTGCACGGACGCCGTTGAAATCCCTGCATCATTTCTCACACAAGTGTAGGAAATCACATGACCTGGTATCGAGTGACCTTGTTGTACCTGAATACACGAAGAAACAAACCAAAGGAAACTCTGCGCATACTGGCCCCTGAGGTGTCGCGGTTAGGCGCCTCGCCGTAGCACGCATGAGACTTTAGTTTGCTTCCCTTGTTGGGATAATATTTAAGCCTATTGAATATCTTCATCTTTCTTTTGGGAAAATGTAGTATCCATCCCAAACTTTATGTACCCAAGATCGAAGCCCCATGCATCTTAAATAATATAAATTGTGCTGATGGGGGTGAAAAAAGACCTGCGTGGTGAGATCTTGTCCATATTACCCTGAGTAATGAAAAACAATTTTGTTATTTTTAATCTCTGAAAAAGTAAGGCATGTGATTGTTTTTCTTTTATACGTACCTAAAAGCCGAATCGCCATAACATATTTTATGGAACATAATTAGAGAGGCGTTGTTTTGTCTAAAGACCGACCGTACACACGAACAAACAATCAAGAGAGAGAGAGAGAGAGAGAGAGAGAGAGAGAGAGAGAGAGATAT